GTATTTTTTTTCTGCTAGTGGCCAATGTTGGATATATTGGCAAGAGAACAGAGACAAGACAGGGCTGCTTCCCCACAATGTTCCTCCAGAACTCAACAAATTGCAGCTCAAGATTTTCTGGGCCAGAAGTATATAGCTCCTTTATAACTCCTAGAAACCAACTTGACAATGAAAGCCAAGCAAAGCACCGCAGCAGAGTTGGCTTTTCATGCCAAAGGACCAGAGGTTCAAACCCTTTGTGGCCTCTGTGTGTCCGTGCACCAAGAGCAGGGCAGGATCATGAGCTACCACAGCAGAAATAACCACAAATAGCCATGACTGAGTCTGCAGGTGACAATGCCTTTTTGACAACCATGAAGACCACTGCCTGTCATCAATGCGAGGTCTGGGAGAGCATCTTCTGCCCTATGTTACATCTACAGAGCTTCTCTTCTTTGCCTTGCTCCTGGTATTCGAGTTACTGCTCCTGCCCTGCAGCAAATGAAGAATAAAAGGTTGGAACAAGAGGAGCCCCTTCAGCTGCTGCGCCCAAGGAAGAGAGGGAAAGTCCTGAGGAAGACATGAGGCAAAGGCAGGTGGTGCGAGCAGAGGAGAAGTTCTTGTTAACTCTCCCCTGGAAGTCCTCTGGATTCTTTACTCACAGGTTATTTAAACCATTTTCTTTTTTGCACATGACATTTCCTCTCTCCTAAAAAATCGGCTTGGCTTCCTGCGAAACATTTCCCTGACGCTTCCAGTTCTTCCTTGTGGAAAGTACATGCGAGATGAAGGTTTCACGATAGTATCTTTGAAACCTGAATCTTTGCAAGCCACCCTTTTCATGTTTCTGGTAACAACAGTTTTAACCCTGGGAGACGCTGTGACCTCTGCTCAGTAGAGTTGGCTCGCTCCTCTGTTTGGGCTCTGTGCTGTTTTGCTTTTTGCTGCAGCTAAGTTTGGTCTGCGTGCTTTCTTTTACAGGGCTTTAAAATATTTACATAACTGTTGTCAACAAATTTATCTAGCCATTTTTAGCTCCTGCAGGAAGAAGGACCTGACTTCTATTTTAAATAAACATTAGAAATACCATAAGAAACAAACCTTGCCCAACTCCGAAAGCTAGTCCTCAGACTTGCTTTCACACTCGTTTGCAGGCAGCCTCATCAGCCCTTTGCTCAGCTTTGCCATGGAGATATAGACACTGATAACAAAGTTAAAGTGCAGAATAGGGGAAAACCTGTCGTAGACATCCTCTCTGGTGCCGTGGTACTTCTATGGCTTCCAATAACACCTGGCTTTACCCAGCAGTGACAGTCTCAGTTCAAATAAAAGCCAGAACGCCATGGCATGGGCTGTTGAAGAGTTAATGCCTGTTGCTGGGTTAGGCAGTGACACTCGTGCTGGGACTCTAGGATATTAAATGCCATCTAGTCATGTCATTTGGTGCCCGGACATGTATGAGCAGGAAGGGTTTTCTTTTTGCGTGTGGCGATGGGCTTTGTGCACCAAACATCCTAAGGCTGCCACCCTCCTCCCTAGTTTAAACAGAGCTTGGTATGTGGTATGAATTTGGGTGGGAAAATGATCCTTCATGGCACTGGGAGGGAAAAGATCCAGATGCATGCTGCAAATAGTTGGAGCTGAGGTTGCTGAATTAATAGCTAACCCTCCCTCTCCTCCCCTCAGCACTTTAAGAGGGCCAGGAGTGTAATGCGAGATGGGCTTTTAGATCCTTTGAGAAAATTCACCAATTAGAGGTGAGAAAAAATGAGGAAAGTTGCTTTACCAGAAATCATGTTTCCCAAGGACCCTGATAGCCTAGGTATCTGCAACAAGAATTAAATATATTGTAGGCTGGGTAGTGATAGATAAGAATAAGGTCACTTTCAAGAAGACTGTGTTAGTTAGCACTTGAATTTACATGTTATGTAAGAAAAGCAGAAGAAAAGCTTCCCCGCTCTGGCATAAGAAAGTGTGGGGGAGGTCTGGACGGTCCTAGGAGTGAAGGAAGATGCAAGAGAGGCCACGAGTGAAGGTTATGCAACTTTCATTTCGTTGAAGATTGTGTTTCAAATCTGCAGAAAGCAGCATGTTTCTCCTTGCTCCCTAGACAGAACGGCACAGCTTTACAATCTCCTTTTATTGTTTTGCTGATAAGCAGGCATTTCACATTTCTGACACTATACAAAATGTCCTTTAGAAAACTCTATCCGTGCCACCGCATTTTCCAGCTGGAACATTAAAACCAGATCCTGGCTGAGCAGCTAAGTTTTCACCCCATAACGCGGTGTCCCAGCTGTGGCTGGCCATGAGACTCAAGACAGAGAGGGGAGAAGCCGCCCCCTCTTTGCTTGCCCAAATGGGTGGCGGTGCCAACACACCTACTTCAGAGCTCTAGGGCAGGCTGGTTTGGCATGAGCCACAGCAGCTGGTGGAGTCCATGACTTTGTATTGCTGGACGTGACTTGTATTTCCAGCCTGCAAACACTAACGGCCAAAGTTTAGCCCCATGCTACTCGTAGGACCCCTGCAGTGACTCAGGCTGTTGCTGATCCACACTGCAAACAGCTACAAGGTAAGTGGCTCTTCCTTCTTTGGCAAAACTCCCAAAGGGTTTCTCTGTAGGACACAGACCTGCCCAAGGTCTTGCCCAGCCTTCAAGGCATGGACAGAGAGGGTTATCCGCTTCCTTGGAAAAACCCGTCTCCTGGCCTGGTAATCCTCACATCCCGAAATAGGCCGCTTGGGTCACTGATAACGGAACATAAATCTGTCTTAGCGTTCCTCTAACAGGCACCAGGACAGCTTGATTCCAGTTAAGTCTCGAGACCTGAAAATAGAGCTATCAGAAATTGCTCAATCAGAGGATATGGATCCCTGACAACAATAATATTTAAAAACCCTTACCAAAAATTCCTGAAAATGTTTGTTCTTTTTCTTTTTTGAGAGAATAAATGAATAGCACCTTCAGAGGTCTCCACAATATCTTGTTTGTGCCTTTTTACTCAGAGGAAACACGTTTCTCAGCCTGCATGCCTTTTTGCCAGCTAACAAGAATCCTTTCTAACTAGCAATTTTGACAAAGATGAAAACACCTCACACCAATATGAGTCAGTTAGGCTTTATGTGCACACCCTGGAAAAAAAAGGCATCTCAGGAGAAAAATCTCTTTTTAAATGTATGCTTGCACAAACTTTTGTGACAGGCCTAGAAAGGCTACGCAAATCTGTGTTTTACGCAGGAATGATAGCTATCTTTCACCGCACAAAGCTGCCTTCTGCTTCTCTTTTCTTTCTAAAACACCAAACTAAAGCAAAATACAAACACTTGTTTCCTCTCCCAGCTTTTGGGTGCTGGTAAAAACGAAGTTTATTATTTCAGTGAGCTGCCATTCCTTTTTATGTGTAGCTAGGTGACCTCTGCTGGTGGTTCTTATCATAACTCTAATAATTCACAATACAGGTACAAATACATTGATATTCTAGGAAGGACTGCCCTACATACACAGAAGATATAATCCCCACTCTGACAAACAGACAGCTCCCACACTGGAAAGGCATAAAATATATATACATATATATATATATATATATATATATATATGAGCCAGCTTTTTCTCCTCAGTGAAGTTTTAAAGAATTATAAACAGGTATGAACATCTCTGACTAGGGCCACTGGTGTTTACTCAACATATTTGTGGTCTAGGTGGCACCTACTGCTCAGAAAGCCCCTACGCTTCATCCTGCGTGAAGCGGGGAGGGGATATGAGGGAAGGGATCAGTCTCCGCTTGCATTCCTGTCCTGCAGGCTTTCTCGTGGCCTCTGCTAACAGCCCTTGTGGGAGGAAGGACAGCGGCTACGCGGACCGGTGTGTGAGTCAGCGCGGCCGCAGGCGCTCGCTCTGCTCTTACACGGCACCACGCCGGGATGTGATGCCCCAAGGGAAAGGCCGCAGTCCACCTGAGCCCTTGCAAGGCAGCCAGCAGCCAGCAGCCTCGGTCTTTGTCATGCCCAAGGTCACTTCTGTCAGTGCGAGGAAATACCGCGCATTCCGAGGGCGCCGTATCTCCTTATCAAGGGCGAAGCTGGCATCGTGCCGCCCCGCACCGCGGCCACTGCCCCTCGCTTTATGCTTTGGCCCACTGTAATGGACACGTCTGCCACGCTCACTTCCCAACGCCCAGTGTCCGGGTGGCAGCCACCGCGGCTCAGTGCCATGTGGACAAACGCAGACACGACAGAAAAACCCAAACGCAATGGAGCCAAGAGCGGGGCCGAAGGCACGGCTGGGTGCTCATCCTCGCTCCCCGTGAGCACACACGTCCCCTGTGTGCAACCCGACGGGCACCTTGCGGTGCCCCGAAACACCCCGCGTGCCAGGGCACCCTGTGGGACGGGGGAGCGAGGGGCGGCAGCCACAAGGCGGGATTGGGGCTGCCGCCCTGGGGCGCTTGGCCCGGGGCTCCCCTCGGGCGGCGGCGGGGGGCGCCAACGGCCGCGCCATGGCGGCAGCCCCACGGCCGC